TGGCCGGCGTCATATCGGTCTTCATCATAGGCTTCGCCTCTTTCACCCAGGGATGCAAAATGAGTGCAGTTGTGGTGATGCGAGAGGTCTCGTTCGGGTCCAGCATTTTGCTGATGACGTCTTTGGCCGCGTCGCTGACTGTCTTATGATAGCTATAGTGTCGCCTCAACTGGTTGTCCAGCATTTGCTTCTCGTCTTTCGGGTCAAACGGGAACTGATTCTCAAATATCTGGAACAGTAAGACACCCGAAGCCCACACGTCGTACTTCTGGGGCATATACCCCTTGAGTTGGAGGATCTGCGGCGCTGTGAATGTAAAAATAGCAAGGTTATATTTAAACTAGATACTTTAATTGATCCAAAAGTTACGGAAGTAAGGAATACTGCCGCAGAAGGTTTGGCTCAACTTCTCGCGCGTCATGTCCTTGGGGTCCAAATCGCTTTGTCGGGAATGACTGAAATCGGACAGTTTGGGCACAAAGTACTTCGTGAGCAGCACATTGTCGGCCTTCATGTCCCGGTGCGCGAAGTTCACGGAATGCATATACCGGAGCCCTTCGACGATCGACTTAAACACCTGTTGGCAGTCCTTCTCGGAGAAGGCGCCGTTCGCCTTCAACCAGTCGCCCAGCGAGCCATACACGGCGTACTCCATGACGATCAGGATCTTGTTGTCCGTTTGCATCAAATCGTAAATCTTGATAATGTTTTGGTGTTTTATTCTTTGCATTACAGTTATCTCTTTCCGCAGAAACTTCACGCGATAGTTGTCGGACGCCTTCTTCAGGTCAATCACTTTAATGGCGTTGTGTTTGAGTTGATCCATATTGAGGCCGTAATAGACGGTCGAGTAGTTCCCGGAGCCGATCTCGTCCACCACTTCCACCTTCTTCTTACTCAATATAGCGGCCACTTCTTTGAATAGTTTGTTTTGCTCGTCCGGCGCCCGCTTTTTGATGCCTTTCGGTAAGGGCTGAGCTCTGAACTCCTGTTCCTTCCGTTGACGCTCTTCCGTCTCATCCTTTTTGGCGCTCATATTCTGGAGATAACTCTTATGAATGGATGTGTTGTAAAGAATCGCTTGTTTTGTCATCAAATATGCAGAATTTCGTTATGTTTTGCGGTTTGAATCTCATTTGAGATTATTGTTTAAATTCGTGAATTATTATTTATAAATAAATCTAGACTTTTATATACAGTACAAAAAACGTTGGCTTATGATTTAGTAATTTAGGATTAGTAGTTTACAATAGTAGATCTGATTTAGAAGTGAAATTACAAAATGATTTACAAAATGCAAACTGAATTTTTAAATCAATTTGTAACGCAATTCTTCAAATGATTTAATTTTCTACTAAATTCTGTAATAATTTAAAAACAATTGATTAGATTCTAGAATTTTGTATTAATTATTGTAAGTTATTAATTATTAAATTGTGTTTATGTGTTAATTCTATAAGAATTTATTGATTTAAATAAGAATTTTATTAAAATGCAGCATAACTTTTGGATGTGGAAAAAGTTTAATTTATTTTCAAAATAGTTTTTAATATGAATTTAATTATAAAGACTAACGAATAAATAAAAATCAATAATAATTACAAAATAAATTCTGAAATTAAAATATATATATTTGTTGAGATAATTATTCTGCCGGTGGTTGAGGTGGTGGTTCCTCAGTAGTCGATGGTTGAGGTGGTGGTGCCTCAGGAGTCGATGGTTGAGGTGGTGGTGCCTTAGCAAGCGGTTCATTCTGCAGACTATCCTTACTCTTAGTCTTAGAAGTAGTGAAGTGATTGACACCGAAATAGATTACAAGTCCGACACCGATGAGCACCAATAAAACCATAAATATGATCAATAAAGTGGTTCCCATACCATTGCCTTCTTTAACCATTGGATCCTTCTTTGGATCATTTGGATTAGGTTTGGGTCGGAGAATACAGCCAAA